GATTTTTATGGATGAAACTGTACATATTTCTGCATTAGTAGTATTGAATTGTAGAAAAGTTACTAGGAAAAAGAAATATTCTTATTACAAGTCGACGTTGTAATTTCAGCAAATTATTCAATTGGCCAGTTACGTATAATTATTGTACATATCGCACGTAGCATACTGTTAATACGATGTCTTGTATAATGCAATTTATGTTATATAAATAAATGATTACGCGGAAAATTGACCGTATCCTTTCGTCATACCATTAATTTTTCACCAGCAACTTTAACGCAAGGTAAGTACATTAACTTTCATTATAATGATATCGAATAAAACTAAAAACATTTCTGAATATATAATTGATAAGAAACCCTGGACTGAAACTAATTAGATAGTTTCGAAGGCAACGTTATTTCACTCCCTTTTTAGCGCACGACGATATTCGCGAGCAATATTTAAAGAGACAGCCAGCCTAAAAAGCGGTGCGTGCATAATTCGCGATCGGTCCCGAATCGTCAGTCTGCCCCCCGGTTTTCAGCCGCCCCCGCGAACCCGTCGTTGATCACGGGTCTGTCGTCGGAAGACAGTACGACGAGGACGGGGGGGGGGGGGAGAGGGACACCGCAGGCTTCTATGGACCCCGAAGAGCCGACAATCGGGCGCGCGGTGACAACGAGCAATCAGCCTGCCGTATATCTACGGGTCCTGTCGCCACGCATTTGTGCCCCATTGTGTCGACGAAGTAGGTGGTCGCTTCTTCCCTCTTTCTCTTTCTCTCCCTGCCTCCAGAATGCCGTAGTACAAGAGTATCACTGTACAACGGTTCGAAGCTCTTGCCGGCTTCTAACTTTAACCCTTCGTGTTTCATTGAGCGGGCATATTTACGGATATCGTTACACACGTGGGAACAGGAACGATTTCAATACGCCCTTATTTAGGGAGAAACATTTACGTCACGATTATCACGTGACATTATATTTATGTTTATGTTTATCGTTGGTAATATTGTAAAATCTACGTACTTTTAGTAAATATAAATTGTATGTTGACATTGTTTCTTTAAGGTATAATTCAAAGAGCGAGAAGATGAGAGAAGAACTAGTAGTTCAATTTTTAATAGCTAATACTAGCTTATTTAAAATGGACAATGATTTTAAATATAATTGGAATATATTGTTAAGAACGACATGTGTTAAGAAGGATATGCTTTAAATATTACAATTATAATTAAATAAATTATGTTTGAAATTCACTATTTAGTAAATAATATAATTTTTACAAGAAATGCATTCAAAGCGATTACATATTATAAATTTTTATATAATTTTTATATAACTATTGTCAATTATTATTTATAATTATTAATCTTTTCTTATATTTCTTTTATTATGTAAATTATTATTGAGATTAGTAAGATTTATTTTGCTTATTTAGGTTATTCAATGACGAGACAAATGCATCAAATTTCGTTGTCTACAATTTCAGCCATGCACGATACTTTTTCCGGACCTCACATATCGTTCGCCTTCCTCCATGATTCGCTATTCAATGATCCCCGCCCATTCCAACCCCCGTAAACGCTGTATGGGGTTGCTTCAAGAGCGGCTCCTTTGAAACTCGTCTCTCTTTCTCTCGCCTCGCCAATCCTACCAAATATCTTCCCCCAATCTGTTGCTCCAAAATTACCCTGACCCCAATGGCGATGTGGTAGGTCAAGGACTGGTACACAAAAAAAAAAGAAAAAAAACAGCGTGGTCACGTATCATCGCACGCGTGAGAACTTTTACCATAAAATACAATACTAAGTTGACATTAATTTATAAGTATTTCAAACAAAGAATTCTTTACCCAGAAAAATTTATAATTGTATATATAAAAATACAATGTCCGCAAAATAAATCAATGTCAACTTTTCTTTCAAAAAATTTCAGTTTTCAGAGAAACTACTTTTAACGTGCATTTTAAAATAAAAAATAAAAAAATTATAATAAATAAATATTGTGCAATGAAGGATAATTTAGTGAGTGTATTTATGATAATTTATTACAAAAAGCTTCTTTTTTTGTAAACCCTTTTTCAGAATTTTATTACAGATTTTACAGGTCCATATTTTTTTTTTTGTTTGTTACTGCGTTTTCCAATTTCGTAACCAGAACAGATGTACCGGCAACTGCAAAGCTGATAAGTGTGACGACCTCCCAAGCTCAAACCGCACCCTCGCGGTGGAAATCTGAGGGTGTCCTTACGGCCAATCCGTGCGTGCGCGTACATTGCGTGACTCGGCCTATATATGCCGCGATGCATATCCGAGACATACATTTTTCACTATATAAAATCGCTTTTATGCGACATAAAACAACTAATATGATTTTCTTGCTAGAGATGCATCCTGGACGTTAATGTAAATATTATAAATTTTCATATAATTATTATACTTAGAATTATTGGTATTACCTAACGCTTCGAGTATTGAGTATTGCAGCTCTATTTAGTAAAGAGAACGAAGTGGCAAAAACGAAAAGTGCTAGTGACTCCCCGAGGATTGTTTCTCATAATTGTTCTCATTAACTATCTCAAAGGTAATACAACAGCATTGCGGAAATTCCATATAGAAGTTAATCATTCGATGATGCAAAGTCCTTTCACTCTGCCATAACCGCTTTACGTCATTGCTTAAAGCGTTTTCTAACGCACAGTGTCTTGAAATCGTAACTTTCAGAATTGATTTACCGTTTCAATCATTAGACGTAATCGCCAAATACGATTAATAATCATAATTTATAATAAAA